CTATATATATTGTATATATATATATATATATATACAATATATATATATATCTATATATATAGAAAGAGAGAAAGATAGATAAAGTTAGAGAGACGGAGGGAGAAATTACTTGTGTTTGGGGTTGCAATACAACAGTATAATGTCAATTTGTGGATTAAATCAATTGATCAAACCCAATTCTTTGCGCTATGTGCGAACAACTGCAACATAGACAACAGAAAAGATATGATGTCATATTGAGTTTGAACAATATTTGGAAGGTTCCAAAAACCCAAATGTTACAGATCACTCAAACATTCAACTAAATACTGGTTTTCTGGTTTTCTTCCATGGTGAAGTTCCTCGTGTACTTGACAAAAGGAACTTTATTNNACCGTGCATACTAGGCACTTCACTACCGGGAAGTAGACAAGATCCTTTTTCTCAATTCATTATCGCATACTCGTTAGTCATCTGAGCAGTGATCTACCAGGTTTATCATCGACTTTTAGCCAAGCATGAGATCACTTATGAGATCTAATTGTCACGGCACAGCGCAGAGGAATATGAAAACCAAGACGGATAATAGGTGATTATCCAAGATAAATTAATGGCATAATTAACTTGATTGCACGGAAGGCACTGATTCTCAAAGTGTGAGTCGTAGTAACTTGTCCAATAATTTACCTTGGAAATTAACTCGATTCTGTCAGAAATGACAGTATGCGGAAGCCAGAGATCTGCCCCAAACATCTGAGTGTATGTGTATGACTAAATGAAAAATTACGCTTGCCTTTTTTATATGATATTATTAATTTTATTCTGATGGTAACCAACAATTTCTTAGTGACCGAGTACACAGAAGATGTGTTATCATTTGAATAGAACTGACTGCTAGCATTCTTTTCCCGATAAAAATCAGTATCCTGCTTATGATACTCTATTTATGTTTGAATGAGTAGAACAGCTGCCATCGATTTTGATAATTTTATGGAAAGATACTATGTCGAAACCAGAGCATTCAAGCATACGATTTGCGCGTAATTTATACGTATCCATTTGGATTCAAATCCGTGTCGAAGTGACGTTATTTATTATTTTAAATGTGAAGTCACCTGATTGGGCAAGTGTGAATATACGTCATACGGTCTTCTTCCAGGTGACGGAAGTAGGTTAACTGTTCTAAGCTACTGCTTTTGAGTACCAAAAAGAGAGCTATTCTGTCGGGTTGCTATCTTTTCTGCAATGAGTAGAACGTGCTATTTGCCGTTTAATCTTGGTCTCCCGGTGGTGATAGAGACCAATAAGAAAGCTTTGTTCTCGTTGATAGCATGACCCGATGCAATCGATTCCATTCAATTCACTTTTCACTATCCCTCGGTTCAGCTTACTCCGGTGGTCTTCTGATAAACTTTTGGACAACCATCTCGCCCTTTTGGTTCACTTAGCTAGCCACACGTGAACGAGTGAACTGTTATATATAGTGAATGAGGGCATCAATGGTCAGATTGTAAACATGATACGAGAGTGGTTGATGAATAATAAAGCCTACTGGGAGGCTGCATCTTCCTCATTCAAAACCCATATTTCAATTCTCGCTATCAAGAAACGCACAGTGTATTGGGTTCGTAAAAAATGAAGTTGGCGATTTCAACTATTACATTCCAAACAACTTTAGCCCACGGGCACCTGTCGACCATGTTGCTCAGCAGTCCGGATTTCAGCTCTCAACTCGACCGTCTGAGGTTGGACTCCCGGTTGGAATTCAAAGGATCGAATAACTGGCTAGTCCTCAAAAGGAAAAAGCGGTTTTTCTAGTATTTTTGTCAGTCAGCAACCTTTTCTGATAAACTTGGAGCATTCCAATCATGTACACCCACTACCACTCCTCCGGATCAAAACTTGAAGACCGAACGTAGGCTTATTAATCATAACCTACTGGAAATTGATGGTAAGAATGAACAGGTGGAAATCTAAGCAAATTTTATGGCATGTTATGTGGACTAAATGAAATTGCTCGTACGCTATCCAATTCAGGAGAAACGTTTGGTTATACTTTGCGTGTAAAATTAGCCTTGGCTTACAATGATTTTTCTTAACTAATGTCAGGATACTTATATTGTGTTTGAATTTAGTTCAGGCAGTCTGCTTGACCGAGTGCGTGCGAGAAATTCTACGAGAACGCGGTTTACGCGGCCTATATGTGGGAGCCACTCTTCACGCATTACGAGATATTCCGGGATTTGCTGTCTATTTTCTGGCCTATTCTAAATTGATCCAAGTCAATGCAGCATTCGGCGCACCTCCGTTCTGGTCTTCGTTTTTTGCCGGTGCTTTGGGTGGTGCAGCATCCTGGGTTGTTTCAGCTCCAGTTGTAAGTCCCTTTTGGTGGTTTTGTATGTGTTTTTCGCGCTCCTGGGAAAGCTGAATGGTAGGCCCCGTTTTAAACACTTTTCAAGTCGAAAGATTGGTTCTTCTTCCTTGAGACTTTATCCCCATCAAAAACACGTAATAAAGCTTGTATTCAAATATTGGTGCATTCAGTGTTACATGGCTGTTTGCTCATATAATTTCTACTGGTTTCGCGTTACGTGCAGTTTATATCCCTCACGTGTCAGTCTGTTTTACACTAGCCTGCTTACACTTCATTTTGGAAGTATGATTGACGGGACGTAAGGTGTGCTGTTTCAGCGCATCAGCGTGTCACTATAACTACCACAGTCTGGGATGGATACTTATTGAATTTTTAACCCACGCTTCTTGAGAAACAACACTAACCTGCGTCAACGGGTTTTCATGCGGACTTACGACTCGTTAGACTTTCGTGATGTTGAAACCACGCGGACCATTAAGTTTCGGCATTGTGTAGACTATAGAATTTCATGACAGCGGTTGTTCCTAAGCTGTGCATCCGTGACTCCGCTTTTCGAATCTAACCTTTCGATTCTTGAGTAAATCTGAGATTTAACTAACTAGTTGACTGGAAAATAATCTTAAAGACTCACGAGCCCAGAGTGAAATGATTAACTGAATAATCTTATATAATCACGTGCAGCTCAAAATCTTATCACACCGAATGTTATGTCTAATCAAGCGACTGCGGAGGTTCGTTTCATCTTTTTGCAATGTTCACCAACGGGTAGTCATTCATAATGTGAAAATGGTCTTGACCATAGTACTGAATACCTCTTTTACAAAAAGTTTTATCGCATACCGATTCGCATCTCATCACTGGAGTTGATGATGAGTTTATTGGAAGTTGACAGTGCATGAATGTAGAACGATTGTTCTAGTTGTTGATGTATGTTAGCGAACTAAACTGTTTTTTTCGTAAAGATCGACAATAACAGGAGAGTAAGCACAATCTCGTTCGTAATGAATTGCTAAAATTATGATTTTCTCCCAAATGTGATGGAACATTAAATTCATACACATGAACCTCTTCACAGACCCCAAAACTGTGCAACAGAAAACATCAGATAGAGAATAACTTATGGCAAACAAAACACAGTATTCCTGGATTGATGTCGAAAACAATCTACAATATCTTCGAGGTCTCACAGAATAAGCCGAGAACAACAGAACTCTCGTTTAGGGTTATTTATGATCCCGCGGGATAGAAAGCCATTAGTTTCGTTCTATAGTTATTGTTTAAATCCAACTTCATTCGTGTGTGTGCTTGCGTACTGCATGAATCAAATAATCGATGCATTGATAACTGACCGAGGCCAATTCCACGGCAACGTATTCGTGCGTCTGCAGAGCAAGATTTACGTAAGAAAGAACAATGCTGATATTGTGGAGTAAAAGTGTTTTGAGCAAATTTGTCTCCCTCATGAATAATAATTCGTCAATTTCGTTTATTTAATTGATTAATTACTTTGCATTTTGACAAACCAAGCTGATCATTTTCCAGTTTGATAATGAAATGAGATCAATTATTGAATGGATGATATATTATTCAGATCTCTTAATCAGTTATCGGAAAGTGAGCACTGGAAATCGATGGCTGGTATTAATCCCATGCATATCGTCTTACTTAGTTATGGATAAAATTTTGGCAACTTCATCATCTCCAGCGTTCATGCATTGCTAAAAAAGTGGTGTGATCGTACAGTTCTATCTACTGCTGAATCTGCGTTTCTAAGAGTCTCTAACACCCCATTTTTTTGCGTGCAAGTTCCACAGATTTTTTCTTTTAGCTTAACTAACATTGCGCAAACAAAAATGAGCTGTTTGAAGACCAATAATCTACTGTAAGCCACAATGAGAGACGTTACCGGTTATTTCTTATGACAGAAACTAGTGAACGGAAAGGCGTTTGAAACTGACGAATCAGAGACATCCTCAAAAAGATGTTCAAAGCAAATAGATTCAAATGTACATGGGTTCAAATTCACGAACTATGTACAGTGAGAACTATTTAATGGAGTAACTTCAGCTCTAAGGAACAATATTAAGTAACTTAAGAAGTCACCTTAAGAAACACGACTGCGTAGTGCACACACGTTTTCAATTATTCGTAATCAAAGTCAAAGTTTATTATAGTTGATTTAACAAAGCTTATGATGCTCAGTAGGATTTTAACAGAATGTTTTGGACAATATTACAAAAAGAAAATAAAAATAATATGCATGATCTCCCAAAGATATTCAAATGCTAAATGTTTCAATGCTTCATCAATCTGCGCTTTCAATCATTCAACTGTAGGGGCACGCACAACATGAGATGGAACAGAATTCCATACACCGTACACTGAGTGCAAACGAGTGAGGCCAACAATCAAGGTGAATGTTCTATCAGAGAAGTATGAAAGTGGCAAAGACGGATCTGTTTTTTGGTACTTCTAATCAGGCCAACACACAGTCGAACATGTATAGACACAACACAGCGGGATAATTTCTAGTGTAAGTACTTATACAGTTATTGTGATGATTGATGTTGAGGACTGTGTCCGGATGCAACAGTCAAGGATGAGTCAAACTGATGTGTCTGTTTCACGATCTTACTGGCCTTAGGCCAGGGCAGCAGTAGAGTCTTGACAAATTGTTTTTGCGAACGCAGTATTGATTGGCTTAGCCTAATCGCGGTCGCTTCGGCTGTGCACAGAATTCTTTGTCTCACCTCTTTTGATCGGTTATATGCTACCCGGTAGATGATCTTGAATCTCTCCTAACGTGTCAGTTCGTAACCCGTGTCGAGTGCGTGGGCTAGGATCGCACACGATGGACACAGTCCTCAACATTAATCATCACAATAACTGTATGAGTACTTGCACTACGGATTATCACTCTGTTGTGTCTATACATGTTCTATTGTGTGTACTGTATTGGCCTGATGAGAAGTACCGAAAAATTGATCTGTATTTGTCACTTTCAGATTCTTTCGACAGAACAATGGGAATGTTTTGTGAATGTTATGTGCCCTCAAATCTAATAGATGTCCCACGCGATGATCATTTTGACATAAAGTCAACGCAGAACAACAAGGGTGGTTGGGTTGATGCAGTATGTAATATATCGAGATTAGGTCCCCCGAAGTGGACGGTACTGAGATGAGTGAAGCCCCAATATTTGCAATCTTTCGGAGTATCTCTTCTTATACAAACGTCTTACCATTTCTTACCAACCTGTTCTGACGTTCTAGAGCCTTCTGGTCTCGACTCAACCATGGATTCCATACTTAAACAGCGGATTCCGTGTGTGGCCGAACGAACGCTGACAGCAAGCGTGGGAACAGTGCTTTTTCCAACTACCCCAAAGCACGTCTAAATAGTTCAACTTGCTTTAGAGCAATGGATGATGCTCTGGCACATTGCATCCTACGTCTTCCTGTACCATAACTCCCAAATCCTTTTCATCCGTGGCATGCGATAGTATTTGGTTCCCAAGAGCATAGGAGAAATGAGTCATGTACCGTATAGAAATAACTGCATTTTGAAACGTTCGATTCAATGTCATAGGCGACTGACCATCAGTGGGCTGTGATGATTGTTTCTTGGAGTACCAAGTGATCCTCTGGGTATGTTACTCTTCTCCAGATTTTAGCGTCATTCGCAAATAGTAGTGAATTTGCATCGAGAACATGTGGTAGGTCGATTAAAAATGTTCGAGCACAAATACTTGCGGAACCCCTCGAACAGTGACGATAGGTTCAGACAATGAATCGCAAGCACGAACGGGTATCGTTCTTTATCGGAGAAACTCCTCGATCCCGTCGAAAACCAAACCTCATATTCCTTTGTTATAGAGTTTTCACAAGAGAATTTAGTGGTTTACACGATCAAATGCTTTGGAGAAGTCCACGTAAGCTCGCCTGCATTAACGGATTTTGTCCACTCATCTCGTGCAAGAAGTAGATTTCTGATGCACGAACGTTTTTGACGAAATTCATGCCCATCGTGAAATGAAATGGTATTCTTCGCCAGATACTCCATCAAAAGATCTGCCACAACAGCCTCCATGACTTCCGACAGTATTGGCAGAATCGTAACAGGGCGATAGTTGCCGGGATCACTGAGAGAGCTTCTTTTGTAAATGGATGAACTCATCCCCTCCTTTCATGACTACGGGATTACCACCTTGTTGAACATCCTTATGTATAGAACATTCAGAGGTTCTGC